ATATATATATATATTACCTAGTCCATTTTAACCCTCAGTTTGCACACAACTTTTCTAATTAGTTCGACTTTGTGCCGTCTTTTACAATCGTCAAAATATACATCTAGACCTTCAACTGGTGACTTTGAAAACGTAACCAAGTCTTCTTTAGTGCTTTTATGTTTCCTGTGTCAAAAGCACGGCTTCTAAAATGGTTTCACTTGTTTGATTCTTTTCTAGCTTTATCAAATTTTTATTTTCCACTCATTAGACTTAAATTTTAAATAATCATTTTTTTTAACTTTTTAAAACTATAAGTAAAACTTGTAAATATTTTAAAAAGTTTTCATTTACATTTCATGAGCAACTTATTTTTTATTCAATAAAGTTTGAATTTTCTTTAAGAGAGATTTTCACATTTAATATTCGATCATGTCTCGAACAATATTGCATTTTAAGGAAAATATACGTGAAAAACAAATATTTCATTAAAAACAATTATTTTGTATTTGCTTTATAAATATTATTTTAAACATAAATTATTTTGTATTTACTTTATAAATAGAAATTACAAAATCTAGATTGTATAAGTTAAAAAATATAAATTATTAAAAATACAAACTTAACTCCAAATAATTGAAATTCAAAATTTTAAATCAAAGTTGAGAATAATGTAAGTTATTCTTTTGTTAATTTGTATTGGTGTGTATTAGGGATAGATTTCTTCTCCTGATAGATGATTATAATAAAAATCTTGTAGAGTAACACTTTTCCTAACAAATAAAGAATTTTTAACCCCAAAAATCAATTATTAGTTAATAAACTTGAAAACCTTTGGTAGATCAATATGAGAATAATATGTTATCCTTTGAGTAGATTAAAAGACTAGATTTAACTTCTCAGACATAAGGCTGGAGGAATATACACTCTTAATAATTTTAAAATAAATATTTTACGAGTCTAAGCATCACCCAAGAAGAGCATGACTTAGAATTGACTTGAAATGAAATTAGTCTCTCGTAATCTTCCAATATAAAATGACACAATTCTTGTTTGGTGCATTGAATGCACTTGCTTGACATTCCTAATGGCCCCTGCTCTTATTTTGAAATCACTCATAATATTTTTGTCCCAGCTTCTTGTTTCAGCTGAAGATGAAACGTGTCCAGCCTCTTTGGATTGTGGAGATCTTGGCCAGATTAAGTTTCCTTTCACAACCACACTGCGACCACACTGTGGCCTATTGCCCATACGTGGTTGTGAACAAAAAGATCCCTACGCTCCCAAAACCATTCAACTCAACAATCCAACACCAAGAACCTACAATGTTCTACAGGTTGAACCTCGTACCATAATGATCATAGACGATGATCAATATCATTATTTGCAAACCAACAATTGCAAACTCTTCACCAACAATTTTACTCTTCCTCACGCCTCTCTTTTAGCTTCTTTCTACATCAAATATAATATCACTGTCTTCAGATGCAATCACTCCCTCAAGGCCACCCTTCCCAACCATTTTTATAAATATTCAAATTGTTTTGACTATGATATCTACTATGGCCCTCCAAATACTGAAATTCCTTTGGGCTTCAAGTGGCCAAGCTCATTAGCACCATGTTCAACCATTCAGCTTGCAGTACAAGCAAAATCTACTAACAATCCATTTCAATTTCTATCTGCTAGTATCGCTATTGAAGTGCGATTATCTGAGGCTTGTGAAAGTTGTCTTCATCATGGAGAAGGCCAATGTTTACTTGACGGTAAAGGAACATTTTATTGCGCCAAAGGTATGCAATTATTTTCGAGTTAAAAATGTGGAGGACGAGAAAGGATGTCTCAGGTTTAGTGCATGCTATTAAGCCTCAACCAAATGTTACAACAAATGAACTTTCAATGAAGGATTTCAGGAAACATCTCAAATTCAAAAAAACCATTTCGACACAAACTTCCCCAAGTGACTGATTTGTAGTATTTAGTTAGCACATAGCACGTACATGGAATTTAGAATTAGGCTAATAAAAATCTTCTGCCTAATAGTTTTATATCATAATTTGGTTAATATACACCTGTCTTTATTGCTTTTTTTTAAATTGATTTGTTTCTTTGATATCTACTGCAGAAAATAAAAGTCTGGCGTTGAAATTAGGACTAGGTAATGTTCCTTCTTTTCTTATTTGTCAATTTAGAGCACCATATATTCCATGTCTGATGTCTTATGTACCCTGATGTATTTCCCTCTTTCTTCTCTGCGACTTTTGATGACTTTTTTGTATAATTGTATAATAGGACATAGTCATGCAATTCCAGTTAGTCAAACAGTTTAAAACTTCAATTTTACACGCTCTTCGGTATACATAATCTTCAATTAATTGGAATTCTCCCTCTTTATTGGTTTCTAGGTATTGGACTCCCTGCCACAATTATAATTGGGCTACTGATCATATGGCACCGCAAACCAAGATGTGTGTCTGCTCTCTACTCAGATTCATATCTAGAAAGCGAGAGTATCTACTTTGGGGTCCCTGTGTTCACCTATAAGGATCTTGAAAAAGCAACAAAACGTTTTGATCGTTCCAGAGAACTTGGAGAAGGAGGATTTGGGATTGTTTACTATGGTATATCTCACACAAACTTCACCTTCAATGAAAATAACAATAAAATAGTAAATATTTTTTCATCTCTGTTTTACTAACTAGGAAAACTTATCGATGGACGTGAAGTTGCTGTGAAGCGCCTATATGAGCACAACTACAGGCGATTAGAACAATTCATGAATGAAATCAAGATCCTCACACACTTACGCCACAAAAATTTAGTGTCTCTTTATGGCTGCACTTCACGTCACAGCCGTGAACTATTGCTCGTGTTTGAATACATTTCAAATGGGACGGTGGCCAGTCACCTCCATCATCATGGATCAACAAATCGTAGCTTTTTACCATGGCCTATCCGAATCAAAGTTGCCATAGAGACTGCTACTGCATTGGCCTATCTCCATGCTTCTGACATCATTCACCGTGATGTCAAAACAAACAACATTCTCCTTGACAACACTTTTTGTGTTAAAGTTGCTGATTTTGGACTATCAAGATTGTTCCCAAATGATGTGACACATGTTTCCACAGCTCCACAAGGAACCCCGGGCTATGTTGATCCAGAATATCACCGATGCTACCAACTCACAAACAAGAGTGATGTGTATAGTTTTGGGGTTGTGCTTATTGAGCTCATATCATCCATGCCAGCAATTGATCTGAACCGGCATAAGGATGAAATAAACTTGGCAGATCTAGCCATAAGGAAGATTCAAAAAAGTGCAATGGCTCAGTTGGTGGATACATCCCTTGGTTTTGAGTCAAATAGTGATGTTAAAAGGCAAATAACATCAGTGGCAGAATTGGCTTTTCAGTGCTTGCAACGAGATAAAGAATTGAGACCCTCCATGGATGAAGTTTTGGAGTTGTTGAAGGCAATTGAAAGTCACAAGGATGAAAGTGCACATGTGGAGGAAGTAAAAGTTGAGGGTGAAGGTCCATCTTTAGCTGATGGTGATGAAGTGAAATTGTTGAGAAATATGAAGATGAGGCCTTCACCAAAAGCCGTGACAGATAAATGGGACAGTCAATCCACTAGTTCTAATGTCAATGCCCAATCGTCAAGCCAAATCTAGTATGCCACTAGTAATTTATTAAACACAACATAGAAACATGGACTTCGATATGTATGAGTGAAGTATGGAAGGAACAATTTTTATTTTTTTATTTTTATATATATATAAAATATATTAATAATTTTGTTATTTTTTAAAATTCTGGAAGTAGATCTAAAATTGTAATAAGAAACTTATTTTTTTCATATTAATATAAGATACTAATGTATCAATTAGATATGAATTTATTTGTTAATATAAAATAATTGAATGCGTTTATTTTTAAATTTTATTATAAATTTAAATTTCACACTGTTATTTTCTTGAAGTGAGAAGTTTTTGTAAGAGAATTTAATTACTAAACAAAAGAGAATTTCTACATACTTTATAATTTTGGGAGAATTTTGGAACTATCATTCGACCTTAGTCTTATCATCATTTTGTATTTGTATATTTAATTTGATCCCTAATTTAAATATGTGTACATGCAATTAAAATTCCTTATCATTATCTCCTCTTATTCTTTATGTTATCACTCGATTTTAAATTTAGTGTTCGTTATTATGATTACCTGCATTGCTCGTGTTCTTGTGGAAGAAATCTTCATATTGGATAAGAGTCAAAAGTTGCTTGTGATTCGAAATTATCGGTGAAATAAAAAAATAAAAAAAAAGATGTAGTCTTGATGTCAAAAAAAATCTCAAGTTATAATAATAATAATAATAATAATAATAATAATAAAGTTAATAATAATAATAATTATTATTATTATTATTACTTTGCTTTGTTTTCCAACTAGTACCTTAAGATTTGTTGAGGTTTGATCGATAAGAATTTATTAATAAAAAAATAAAATTTATTAGGAAAGTAGATATGACAATATTATCTTATATTTATTTAATTAATTAGTCAACGTAGAAACTGTTTCAAAACCATTCAATTTTTAATTTGAATTTCAAACTGTTATTTTCTTGAGGCGAGAAATTTTTCCCCGAGAATTTCACTATTAAACAAAATCAGATGAAAGGGAGAGGAAAAAATAATTAAAAGAATACTAAGAATATATACTATTTAAAACTATTTTTACGAAGTATTTTTTAATTTAACACCATGTAGAAATTAAAAGTTAAGGACCAAATATTATTTTAGATTAAATTAATTTTACCTTTTTTGTTATTGTTGTTATTTTTTTTACTCAATTGAATCTTTGGTCAAATTAGTCTAATTAAAATAATATTTTACCAATTAAATTTTTTTTACAATAAAAAAAAAATAGAACAAGATTAATTAATATTATATATTATCATAAAATACTTAATAGTTTTAAGTGCATGAAATTTTACACAATCACTATATTTATATTTATTTACCCTATTAATTAGATCAATCTTTTCATAATTAATAATTTCATTCATAAGAAACATTAAATTTAATTTCCTTAACATTTTTGTATCTTGATCACGATGAAAAGGAAAACTTAGTCTATATATATATAAAAGTAGCCAATCCTTATCAAAATGAAAAATGTTTAACTGTATGAAAACTTATAATACAAAGAGGGACGAACACTTATATCGGTTTTGTTTCAATTTTTGTCTCTTTTTCTCTCTCTGAATCACACTTTTCCTTATCATAATGGTTGATTTCTTATTAGTATCAATTATAGAAGTAACATCCTAGGTATTGTTCCTCCAATGATCGTAGTCTCAAGTACTTCTTGGTGAGTTTTAATATGATCAGATTTATAAGTAAGCATCTCTTGTAAAATATGAGCAACACCAAATCCCTCCAAGGCCCAAACCTCCATTTCGCCTACCCGTTGTCCTCCCAGTTTGGCCCTTCCTCTAAGTGGTTGTTGCGTAACAAGTGCATAATGTCCACTAGTAAATTATATTTTAAATATAAGATAAATAATTTATATTATAATATATTATTTATTAATATTTTATTTTAAAATATTAAAATTTAATTTATAAATAATTATAATAAATAAAAATTGATAAAAAAAATTTAAATCTTTTTAAAAAAACCTACTCACCAGAAAAAAAAGTCTTAAAAACAATCTCAAATAATATAACAATTGATAATTCATATTTAATATATAGAGATTGATTTTATATTTTATAACTCTTAACATTGTAAAAAATAATTAATTATTTAAAATGATATATGTAAGTCACACTATATCGTACTTAATCATTGATTGAAAATAAAATCATAAAATATCATAATTTATTAGCTAAAACAAAATTAAATGGATAATCTCTTAAATTGATAACACCCCCAAACATTTATATAATAAAAATAACTTTTAATGAGTAGGTTCAATTTTTATAATTGTCCTTTTGAATTCTTTTTATAGGTGTCACTTTTGCAGGAGAAGAATTGTTCTTTTTTAAAATTGTTTTGATATCTTTATATGTGATGAATGAGAAGGATGTGAATAGACATTTTAATAATAAATATATAGTAATGACATAGAAAAGTGAATAGACATTCAAAGTTTTAAAACACTGATATTTAATGTAGTATGATAATTTCGAAGACAAAGTAATAAGCATTGTGCAGATGAAAGTGATTAGATATTGAACTTTTTGGTTCTAAAAAAAAAAGTAATAAGCATTGTGCAGATTGAAGGTGATTACATTTCCGTCCTGATGGTCTTCCTTCCTATTTTATACCAGCTTTTGCTTGTGATTCATGTTTCAGCTGACAATGGAAAGTGTCCACCATCTTTCGACTGTGGGTTTCTTGGCCCTATTAAGTTTCCCTTCACAACCACTAAGCAACCACACTGCGGCTTACTCGCTATAGATGGCTGCCAACAACACAATCCATCCGCTCCCAAAACCCTCAAACTAACGTCAAAATCCTATCCTGTTCTACAGGTTGAACCTCGTTCCATAGTCATCACAGATGACCAACAAGATCGTTATTTGTCAACCAAAAATTGCAAAGCCTTCGCCAACAATTTTACCCTTCCTCACACCTCTTCCTTAGCTTCTTTCAACATCAAATATAGTATCACACTCTTCAGATGCAATCGCTCCCTCAGGATCACCCTTCCCAAATACTATTATAAATACTCAAACTGTTCTCAGTACGACATCTACTATGGCCCTCCAAATACTCAGACTCCTCTCCCCTTCAACTACCCCACCGCTTTAGCACCATGTTCAACCATTCAGCTTGCAACACAAGGAAAGTCTACTCAGGACCCCTTTTACTTTCTATCCGCTAGTATCGCTATTCAAGTACGATTATCTGATGCTTGTGAAACCTGTCTTCAACGTCAAGGCCAATGTTTACTTAACACGGAAGGAAAACCCTATTGCGCCAACGGTATGCAAATTTTATTTTTATGTCTCAATCACGTTCAGGGCGTGCATGCCATAAGGTTACCACAAATTAACTTCCAATAAAGGAAACTATCTAATGCAACAATTTTTATTTCGCTGTGTCTTACTTACTATCTTTGCTCTACCATATATATGACATACCACGGTACATAGAATTAGCCCAATCAAAACGTTCTGCCTTATATGTATTGTAATTTGCCTCACACTTGTCTTTAATCTTTATCTTTGCTATACATTAATTTCTTCCTATAATTACTACTGCAGAGAATAAAAGTTTGGCGTGGAAATTTGGACTAGGTAATGTTCTGATGTATTTTAGTTTCCTCCTTTCTTCTTTGCGACTTTTGGTAACATTCTTAGCGTAACATTTGAACATCCTATTTCATTGCTTGAGGACAGAGTCATGCAGTTCCAGTTAGTCAAACTGTTTCAATCTTACACCTTCTTCAGTATATAATCTTCAATTAATTGGATTTCTCCCTCCTTATTGGTTTCTAGGTATTGGACTCCCTGGCATTATTATAATTGGGCTACTCATTGTATGGCACCGGAAAGCAAGATGTGTGCCTGGTATATACTCAAATCCATACCTAGAGAGTGAGAGTATCTACATTGGGGTCCCTGTGTTCAAGTATAAGGATCTTGAAATAGCGACAAAACGTTTTGACCGTTCTAGAGAACTTGGAGAAGGAGGATTTGGGATTGTTTACTATGGTATGTCTCACACAAACTCCACCTTCAATGAGAATAACAATAAATAAGTAAATGTTTCTTTCATCTCCATTTTACTAATTAGGAAAACTTATCGATGGACGTGAAGTTGCTGTGAAGCGCCTATATGAGCACAACTACAGGCGATTAGAACAATTCATGAATGAAATCAAGATCCTCACACACTTACGCCACAAAAATTTGGTGTCTCTTTATGGCTGCACGTCACGTCACAGCCGTGAACTATTGCTCGTGTTTGAATACATTTCAAATGGGACGGTGGCCAGTCACCTCCATCATCATGGATCAACAAATCGTAGCTTTTTGCCATGGCCTATCCGAATCAAAGTTGCCATAGAGACTGCTACTGCGTTGGCCTATCTTCATGCTTCTGACATCATTCACCGTGATGTCAAAACAAACAATATTCTCCTTGACAACACTTTTTGTGTTAAAGTTGCTGATTTTGGACTATCAAGATTGTTCCCAAATGATGTGTCACATGTTTCCACAGCTCCACAAGGAACCCCGGGCTATGTTGATCCAGAATATCACCAATGCTACCAACTCACAAACAAGAGTGATGTGTATAGTTTTGGGGTTGTGCTTATTGAGCTCATATCATCCATGCCAGCAATTGATCTGAACCGGCATAAGGATGAAATAAACTTGGCAGATCTAGCCATAAGGAAGATTCAAAAAAGTGCAATGGCTCAGTTGGTGGATACTTCCCTTGGTTTTGAGTCAAATAGAGATGTTAAAAGGCAAATAACATCAATGGCAGAATTGGCTTTTCAGTGCTTGCAACGAGATAAAGAATTGAGACCCTCCATGGATGAAGTTTTGGAGTTGTTGAAGGCAATCGAAAGTCACAAGGATGGAAATGCACATGTGGAGGAAGTAAAAGTTGAGGGTGAAGGTCCATCTTTAGCTGATGGTGATGAAGTGGAATTGTTGAGAAGTATGAAGGTGTGGCCTTCGCCAAAAGCTGTGGCAGATGAATGGGACAGTCAATCCACTAGTCCTAATGTCAATGCTCAGTAACCGTCAAGCCAAATCTAGTATGGCACTTGTAATTTATTAAACACAAAATAGAATCATGGACTTTGATATGTATGGCTGAAGTATGGTTTATATATATAAAATATATTAATAATTTTGTTGATTTTTAAATACTGAAAGTACAGTACATCTAAACTTAATTAAAAATTGTATAAGAAACTATTTTTTTATATTAACATAAAAGACTAATATATCAATTAGATATGAATTTATTAGTTAATATAAAATATAAAATATAAAATAATTGATTGTTTTTATTTTTTAATATTATAAATTGGAATTTCATACTATTATTTTCTTAAAGCGAAAAGTCTTCGTAGAAGAATTTGTCTATTAAACAAAATCAAAGGAAAATTAAGGAGTAGAAAAGATAATTAAATTTTTTTAGGAATATATATTATTTAAAACTATTTTTAGGAGGATTTTTTTTAATTTAAGACCATGTAATAAAAATTAAAACTAAAATTAAGTGAATGAACGAATAATGATGTTATTGTGCATTTTTTTTCTAAAATAAAAAATAAAGTATTTACAAAAGAATAATGTTATATGTACAACTTATACAATATTATGTCCGTTATCTTTCGCTTCTCATTACTTCATTTATTATAGAAAGATATTATTAATAATGAAAAGAGATTAATATAAAAGAGTTGTACATGTTGTTATACAATTTTTTGTTGTATATGTAACATTACTCTTTGCAAAATATTTCTCATATATAAAACTAATAAAAGAATTAATGGGTTAAATATCATTTTAATAAGGTTGGTCATAACATTTTATAGGTCATAGACAAAATAATAAATTAAATCATTTAAATATAAGTATTGAAATATAAAAATACGTTTTATAAAAAAAAATAGACATGTAATCTTATTAAAAAAAATTGTGTATCTTATATTAAGTATATAATATAGTTTTAAAGAGGAGAATATAATAATAATATATAATATAATTTTTATTTTTAAAATAGTTCCTTCAAATATTAAATAGATATTTTTATTTAATGCAACTTTCATTTTTCGGATATGTCAAACTTAGAGAGTAAATATAATATGTTATTGAGTGCAAATTTTGTATTTCAAAACAAGTTTTTTTAAATTTATTTTTAGTGTCATTGGTTAATACAAAATTGAATGACAACTATTTTTGATAAATAAATTGAACGACAACTAAAGCACAAACGTGCAATTTTATTTCTCAAAAACACTTAAAAAAATATAAAATAAATTTAAAGTGTTAACTTGCGTACATAAATAAAATATTTTTTTCTTAAAATATGAGAGATTAAAAAAAATCAACCCTTTTCAATTAAGAGTCCTAAGCAACTGTACTTTTAAACTACATTATTCATTAACTTTTTATTAGGTGAGAGTGGTTACGAAATTTTCTATTTAAAAATCAAAAAACTGAAAAATATAAATACGAAAATTTAAAACATTTTTTTGGGATAATGATAAAGACTTGCGTAATTATTTTTTTAATTATGAATATTGTCAATACATAATTTTTAAATTATTCTTTTGAACCTTATTTTATTTAATCTTTATTATTCAAAATATACAATGTGATCTTTTTTGTTTAATTAAAGTTAATAACGTTAATTTTTTTTATATATAATAATATATGTCATTTTTTTAAGTGTCCCATGAACAAAATATTATCATTGTTAATCTTAATTGAAAAAGAAATCACATTAGGTCATTTTGAAAGTTTAAAAAATCAAGATGAACTTTTTAATAATAAAGAAACTAAATTGAAGTAATTAAATAAAAATGGTGGACAAAAATGTAATTTACCCTTAAATTTATTTTAAATAAAAGAAAGGAAAAAGGAGATAGTAAAATGGGAGGGTAGTAATAACCTCAAAATCCAATTCTAATTTCAAAGATCAAATATTAAAAACACACTTTCTAACTTTGACTAGGTTTTTCTTAATGATAATTGAAATTAGAATGCAAGTCACATTTAGTAGTAAACCCTAAACTAGTCGTACACTCACCAAAGAATTTCCAGAATGGTTCTTCCCTGGTGGATTTCCCAAATGTCAGCTATGCTAATTTGAAGTCTCTAATTTTCAACGCGAGCGTGTTTTTCAAAATAAAAAAGTTTGGGCAGAGACGAAAACGCTGACTAAATGCTAGTAATAAAAATGTTAACGTACTTAAGACTTTAGTTAAGAAAATAAAATAATTAATTAAGAAAATAAATATCACATACTTATAAGATTGTCTCCCACAGTTATGTAGCTGAGCTTTTTTACCAAACTGATATGGTTTGCCTTCTTATAAATTTGCTTCATTATTTTGGACCAGTATTTCTACATCATTGTAACTTTATTCTTTTTAATAATATTTGTTATGTCGCAAATGATCAATAATTCTAAAGGTATCAATGTTGGTTAGGATATTTAGTTCCTGTAGTAATGTATGTTATTCTTAATTTTTATTTAAAAATTGAAGAAATAAAAATGAAATGTAATATATTTATTATTAAAACCATTTAAATAAACATGTACTCCATCAAACACTCTAAATTTTTTTTTAGTAATTATTAAGATTTTAGTTTACAAATGCTGTGAGTGCACACTGGCACCAACATGGTGGGCCAAACGGTGAAAGTATTATTCACAATTTCACACCGTGACCTGTATATTGTCGGAAAGCGATCATTTGAAAGTCAAATTCAAAGTAAACAAAAAAAGCAAACACTACTAATACCTAGTCATGTAAATAAATTCGAACCCTTTGTTGGACTCTAATTTTTATAATTATTAAACATATAAACTACGAAATTAATTATTACAATACCTGAATAATTTAAATATTTTTTCATATGTTTATATTTTTTTAATTATATATATTTTTATTATCAAATTTGAAGATCAACACGTTACCTTACAGGATAAATGGGAGGCACACGGTTCACCTAAATTCTTAAGCCGTAAGCTTCGAAGATGAGTTTTAAAATAGACAGGCTAGTTTCACGTGTAAAGACTTATTGGGTCAACCTTTTTATTTTTAATTTTAATTGAAATTTATCGTATTTTATTATAATTTTTATTTTTTAAAGTTAATAAAAAAAATTAATATGTTTTTATTGATGTTCTTAAGATTTATTTAAAAATAAAAAAATAAGATTTATTTGAAGTATGTTGAAAAAGACGTTGACATAGTAGTAATTTTGTGAGTCAAGCGGCGTATGAATTGGTTCAAAAAGATAGCAATTTATAGAGCGTTGGCAACAGATTGCGAAAATATAATGATTTGATGGTTGTGTTAGTGGCAGCTGGAAATGTGTGGCGTTAATGAAGTCCTTTTGATTTGTTGTTTGTGGGTGGTGATTGTGTTGGGTGGGAATGCAAATGGGCATGAACATGAGTATGATGATTGTCCAGAGTCATTTGATTGCGGAAGTTTGGGAAAAATTTCCTTCCCTTTCAGCAGCGTAGAAAGGCAGAAGTGTGGTGTTTTGGCAATCCATGGGTGCAGTGATGTTAAGCAAAGTGTCCAGTTGAAGAATGGAGGAAAACATTTCAAAGTTACACGAGTTAATTCTTATAGTCAGTGGCGGCGGACTAGTATTTCCATGATCGACGAGGATTTTTTGAAGCTTGTGCAAAATGATAGTTGTGAGGCCCTCAGCTATAATATTAGCGTCCCTCCCTCCTCTCCTTTGGGTTATTTTGATGTGAAAAACAATGTAACAGTCTTCGAATGCAGCAAGCAGAAGAAAGTGAAGGATACAGATAATTTCATCAAGTATACCACATGTTCCTCTGATTTTTACTTTGCCTCTTCCTACTCTCCTCACCCCTCTCTGCGCTCTTTAAACTCCTCATGTTCTATTTTTCAACTTCCCGTCATACAAGATTCCCAGTTCAACAAAAATCCTTTTGGATTTCTGACTGCTGAAATTACCTTTGACTTCCACTTTTCACTTGCCTGTGATCAGTGTCGAACCAACCAAGGAGGCCATTGTCGATCTGACAGCAAGGGAAATATTTATTGTACCCGGAGGAGGTCATTTTTTCACTTTACTTCTCTATATATGTTAAGGAATTTTGTTTTCTTAGCACTTAGCACTACATTTAAGTAGTATTTAACTAGGATCCATTTACCTCTTTATTATCTAATTCCAACAATGCCTTCTTTTCAATTATGCAGGAAAGGTAGAGTTTCGACCACTCGGAAGCTAGGATTGATGCTAGGTGACGTAAAGATTTTAACATTCAATTATATATCCTGCTTCTTAATTTAAACCTTGTTTCTTTAAAGATGCATAAAATTCATTTTAAATTATTAAACGTAGTTGAAAATTGAAATGTCTGTTTAAATTATTATCACTCTTAAATTCACGATAAAAACATTTTTTTTATATATACTATAATTCTGGGGTGTATAATTCTGGGGTGTATGAATAGATGAAGTACACAGATAGCTAGCAATTCTAATATATGATAAATGATGTTATAGAAAATGAAGAGAAATTATAAAGGGGGGGGGAACTAATTAAAGACACAATAAGGAGGTTATTTAATAGCAAATATAATTAAAAACAAAGTGAAAAAAATGTTTTTGATATACAAATTAAGCTGAAATTACCCCTGGCATAGTTTTAGGAACATTTGTCATATTAATTAATTTCATCATGAAGTTGAAGTATGTATAAAGAAGATTAATTTAGATGTTTTCAAGTTGTATTTGGTAAAAATAAATTATAGAATAAATTGTATGTTTATAACAAAATTGTAAAAATGACTTTTTAAATATATAAATAAGTCATTTTCAAGCATCATAAAATTTGAAACTTATGATTATTTTTTAACGGTCTTTTTTCTTTAAAGTTAGGATTAAATTATAAAAACTAATATTTTTATATTTTAATTTTTATTGTTAAAATTGTTTAATTTTAGTTTTTATATACATCATTTTTTATTTTAAATCTATGATTTCTATTACTATAAGGATTAAAGATAAAATTTATAAAATTATAGGATTAAAAGGAAACAAAATAAGTATATATATGACCAAAATGAAATAATTTTAATTATAGACATTTAAAGAAAAAGAAATGGTGAAACTATTGTGACCAAAATGATAATTTAACCATCTTAATATATTTTTAAAATGTTTTAACAAAATCTTTGTATTTTCCTTAACGACAGATACATTAGTCAGCATGGCTCTTTATTTTAAACCAAGCAATCATGAAGTTGTCCCCCCTCTTTAGTTCATTCATTTGGTTGAGGTTGAAAAAATGACTTAAATCTGAGTGTGTCAATTGTCAATTGTCAAACTAATTAAAAGTCGCAACCTTTAATTATAGGCATCGGTGTTGGACCATGGATCATATTTGGATTGATCCTCACGTTACGGCACTACAAACGGAAATATGGTTCCGAACGCGTTCAACTCCAATTGAGCAACACTTCTGCTGATCCCTACCCAAATCGTGACACAGAGAGTGACAGGATCTTCTTTGGGGTACCCGTCTTTTCTTATAAGGAACTTCAAGAAGCAACAAACAATTTTGATCATACTAGAAAGCTAGGAGATGGAGGCTTTGGCACTGTTTACTATGGTCAGCATATAAATAATATACTAATTACTACATATATATGCCTCATTTCCATTTATACACTTTTCAATCTTATTGATTCACTTGAGCCTTGATCTTAATAAACCAGGCACACTAAGAGATGGAAGAGAAGTAGCAATCAAGCATCTATTTGAGCACAATTACAGGAGAGTGGAACAGTTCATGAATGAAATTGAGATCCTCACTCGGCTACGCCACAGAAACCTTGTGTCCCTCTATGGCTGCACTTCACGACACGGCCACGAGCTATTGCTTGTGTATGAATACATTCCAAATGGCACAGTTGGTAGCCATGTCCATGGTGATTTAGCAAGGGTTGGTCTGTTGACATGGTCTATTCGAATGCAAATTGCCATAGAAACTGCTACTGCATTGGCTTATCTGCATGCCTCCAACATCATCCACCGTGATGTGAAAACCAACAACATTCTACTTGACATTAATTTTTCGGTTAAGGTAGCAGATTTTGGTCTTTCAAGATTGCTCCCCAACGACGTAAGTCATGTCTCCACAGCTCCACAAGGCTCTCCGGGGTATCTTGACCCTGAATATTTCCAATGCTACAGACTCACTGACAAGAGTGATGTGTATAGCTTTGGGGTTGTGCTCATGGAGTTGATATCATCTATGCCAGCGGTTGATGCAGCCAGAGAACGAGATGAAGTTAACTTGACAAATCTTGCCATGAAAAAGATTCGAAAGGGAAAGCTTGGTGAGCTTGTAGACCCTTCCTTGGGGTTTGAGTCAGACCAACAAGTTAGAAGGATGATGACTTCAGTGGCAGAATTGGCTTTTCGGTGCGTGCAAGGACACGTTGTATTAAGGCCTTCTATGGATGAAGTTCTGGAAACACTCAAGATAATTCAAAGTGGGAAATATGACTCTCAGCCTGCGCATCAACAGAAACAAGGTGATGGTGGTTTTATCTTTTCGACTTCCACTTCAATTGAAGAAGTACATGCATCTGTTGGAATTTTTAACGATCAGAAGCTAGCAGACTCACCAAATTCCTTCACTCAGAATAGGGAAAGTGAATCCAACACGCCCAATGTTAGTGGTTAAGCACTTTTTGTCTAATAATAACACTAGTTTTTCACTTTTTGCTATAAAAAAAAAAAAAAAAAAAAAAAAAAAAAAAAAA